TTTTGGCATGGCACGGCCCTCCAGCCAGTTGTCGCTTTGCAGTCCACACTTACAAATGTTATTTCTTGTGATGTATGAGTATTTCACAAGCGCTTCCTCCCCAGGGATGCTCCCTGTGAGGAGGAGGCCGCCTCTGCGGGGATTGAAACGGTAGCAAACGACAATCTTAATGAAAGATCTCTTCTCCAAGGGCATCTCAGCAGAAGAGAACACCATCCTGCAAGAACTCAGCTCGCCAGAGCACGCCCTGCTCTCCAGCTGCTTGAATTGCCTCTGGCTATGGGTGGTGGATGTACAGAAAAATACAGCTCCGTCTTTTTCCAGGATACACGGTTTTGTAGGCTTGGAAGGTCTTGGGATGCTCTGGTCTGAGCTCCTCATCAAACTGTTGGAAATATCTTCCCTTCTGTAGATGCACAATGGCATAACCCAGAGAGTGATGTGATGCTTTGGGTGAAATATTTTCCCCCTGATGTCGGGACAGAGGAAATTCATCACATAATTTCATCCATCCTGATACACATAAGTAGCTGATACTCAAAATACATATCTGTTGCAAACGACAAATAAAGCATGTTCACTGAAACGTGGACATGGACCCGCGGCCCCGGTGTCGTTTGTCTCTCCGACAGCGGGTGGCACTGTGCAATCAAAATAGCTTTGCTTTCCCTTTATTCCACCGCCTTCATCTTCCAGCCCGCTGGGGTTTGAGCCCTGCGGTTCTGGAGGGACAAGGGGTATCATACCGACCTGCCTGGAGTCCCAGGTGAATTTTGGGTTGAATTCTGGGGAGATGTGGAACTTGATTGGCATCTGTTGCAATAATTTTTATTTGTGTTTCGCTTCTGTTAGAGATGCAAGGGAGGTACTTGAGCCTGACTTTCATCTGCCCTAGTACTTTCTCATCAAACTCTCCCTAATTAACTCCCATTGCAAAATTTCTGCCAAATTGAATGGACCTCAAGTGAACAACAGTAAGATGGTGTGGTCTGTGAGTCCCTGAGCAATGGCACTGTCAGAGTTATCATGAGGGGAACGGACATAGAAATGTTTGCCCAGATTGCTAGGCTCACCAGCTGGGCTGGGTTTGTATGAATATGTTGTTCTTAAAAAAAATTAAGAAAATTTCGACAATATTAGCAAACACTGAGCTGTATGGTAAACTATATTTAAAAGCTGAATGGATTTCTTTAAAAGCTAAACCACAACCTTTGCATGGAAACCATGCGTTGATAAAGAAACAATGAGAAAACAACCACATATTCATGACAAAATTACAGAATCTCCTGACACCTCAAAGCATTACCAGGTCCCAGGGTGGCCCATGCAGCAGAGCAAAACCCAGTGTGTCATGTTTGGTATACACCAAAGCAGTTTCTCAGACAATGGCTGGTGAGTAATTTCCCAGTGATACACTACACCAGGAGGTGTCATTGTCGCCTGCCTCTGCTCTGTGCGTTTGCAGGGAGTTTATGGTAGGAGCTGCTCAGAATTTGTAGCTGGGACTCTGAGATCTGTTCAATGGAAAGCTGCCCCTGCCTTAAGCAGAGGAACAGGACCAGCTTTCAACAGCAGCACGGTCCACAGAGAAAAGCAGCAGTTTATAGGGGTCAGTAGGGGAATTAAAACTTCTGTTTGGTTCCTCAAATAGAATAGGGGGATACCCACCTGGTGGGGATGCAAGTCCTGGATTCACCCTACTGAAAACGATCCCTAAATAGAAGCAAAACACTTTAGTCAGACGGCCTAAGTTACTGTGGTACCCTGCTGAAGGAGGGTTTGTAAAACAACAATGCATCATCTCTCTGAAAGGTATTTTACCCGAGAGCCCTTCCATTCTGTCAGTCTTGTCCAGTTCACCTTCCCTGAAGCAGATGAGGACCCAAGTGAGGTCTGCAGCACAAACATCTCCTCAGCCAAAAATGTTGTGTGACCCCAGGAGCTGCTGGTTGTGCCTGCAGCACCTCAGGCTCAGTTTAGGGGACAGGATGTGCCCAGACTGGCACACTGTGGACACATCCATCAGCAAGGATGTAAGTCATGCCTGGGCAATAAAATGCAAACAAAGTGAAACTGCTGAATTGGAAATGCTCACTGTCATGCAATGGGGCCTGTATTGGTGCTGGCTGCCAGGAGGACTTAGGGTAACTTTGCTTGTGGTGGTGACATGGGATCAAGCTTCTTTTCCCAAGGAGAGCACCCCCGGGACCTCAGAAAGCTATAGTTTACCTTGGAGCTGTGCAGCAGCTAATGATTCTCTTAGATGTTTGGAGGAAGCCTTTGGAAGAATAACAGTGCTTCTTTTGAGGGCCCAGACTAGAGAAAAGACTTTCACAGCACTCAGAAACCCAGTCCGTACATGCAGGGAGTGTAGCAGATGGTCATCAAATCCCTCTGAGATGCAGTGAGAGGCTGGGCAAGCATACACAGGATTGGTGCCACATGGTGGACACTCACTGCAGACCCCAGGAGAGCTATACCACCAAAAGGACATGACTGTGCTGGGAGAGTCCTGCTTTTTCCATGTCCAGAAGATACCTCTTTGGCAACTGCAAAGCATACACTACTTTTGCAGGCTAGAGCAGGTGGCTGTTGTCTCTAGGTACCACTGTGTCCACCTCAGGGGATGACAGCTGCTATGATGCTGGCCTGTGACCAATTCCAAACCATTTGTGCACACAGTGTGTGTTTCCTTTCACAGTCATAACCTGCTCTTCTTTAGTTTAAAGTAAATGAGTCCTTATGCCAGGACTTCAGATTCTACAGTGTCTATACATCAGTCATGTCTATACTCTGATGTAGTGTAGCTCCAGAAAGATTCATCTTAGTGGGACTGGAGGGGAAAACAAGAGACTCTTGTCCCAGGAGAGATGCCTGGGTGTGAGGAAACACCAGTTTCCCCAAGGCACACTCACTTTGTACACCACAGATTGTGAACTGGCAAAGACCTCAACACAATGTCAGCCTCCCTGCTCCCTCTTGCAGAGGACCTGGGGCTCAGTGGTATGAATCACATGGGCCAGGCCTTCACTCTCTCCTTCACAGCATCTTCTCTGCTTGGGTGGGCAGTGCAATAGCAGGGGAGCATTGAGTGATAACACCTGCAGCTGTGGTTGCTGTCCATATGGTTATGGGTTTTGTACATGCTGGTGGAAAAGCCAAAATCTGCACTGGTAGTGAAATCTGTGAGGTTTTATGAAAAATCAGACAACTATGGCCCTGTCATCTATGTCAGAGCCGGAGGTGTCTTGTAATTTTCTAGAGTTTCCCCTGAGATTCCCCCCCACATCTTTTTTACTCCAATGGGAGCAGAAGCTCATTGCCCAAGATCTGCCTCCACCACCTCCTTCCCATACAACATGTGCCTCAGTTCCTCGTGCCTTGAGTGGCAAAATTAAATTCTGCCTTTGTAGCTGGGAAATGTCAAGCTTTGCCCAGACCTGTGCCTGTCCAGTGCCCACATAGGCTGCAATGCTTGGAAAATCCCCAGGCAAAAGAGCTTGGCTCAGACTTGCTCTCCTGGCTTTGCTCACCATCACTCCTCCATCACTCCTCATCATGCCAAGTGTGGACATTGTGGTTGGTGTGGCAGAATCACAGCCCTGGCCTGAAGTCCTTGCTATCAACAAGATGCCCTTTATGAAACAATTTCTGCCAGGGTCATTTAATGAGAAGTGTTTTGCCTTGTTTTATCTCAGTCAGATGCCTCGGTGAGACTGGTGGGAGATTTGCTCCAGCAGGGCCAGTGTCTCATCCAGGAGCCAGAGGCTCTCAGAAGTGGCTTTTCTGGAATCAGTCTGCTTGTGACTCACAAACTTGTGTCTTGCTTTCAGATGAGAGAGAGAAATAGAGGAAGGATGGGGTAAATAAGCAGACTGGTACAAGTTTCATTCCAGGCTCTGCAAATTACTTTAGCTAATCAGAGATGTTGTTGGTGGGCTTTAGACGAGCAATTCCTGCCTGCTCCTTCCCTCTGAGCAGAAAATGAGAGGATTTCACTTCCTCACCAGGACCAAAGCACAGTGCTAGGAAGGGGAAATGACTCCTCATGCTTCTGTACTGTGGGGGCCTGAGAAGCAACATAGCCATGAGAAATGCACAGGGCTCTATCACTGGGACTGTTGGGTTTGCCCAGGAAACCTTCATCAAAATCTGTTGCATTTCCCCCAGCCTTCCCACATGCCTGAGATCTGGAGGAGGAAACTGCATAATGTAAGCAGCTGCAGGGAGGAGTAAGGAAGGAGCCAGCAACAAGAAGCTGGGTGAAACTTCATGTGTCCCATGTCCCTTTTTGCTGGATACCTGCTTTACACATGGTGGGTGAAAAACTCCCAGGAAATTATTTCAGAATATGCACAAGGTTAAAAGAGAATTGTTGTTTGCCTGCTGGCTACAAGAGAGCCAAAAATACAGCTACACACCTGGTTGCAACCATTTAATTATTGGAAATTTGAATTATTGAAAATTTGAATTTCCCTGGATGCATTTAGAAATAATAGCTGTATTTGTCAGTGAGGCTTCTGATACAGTGACAAGACATGCTCCTAAGATATTTGCGGGGTTTTCACTTCTGGAATGGGTTTATCTGGTGTTAATGAAAATCTAGGCTATATTTACAAGTTCCCTCCATTGCCAGTCAGAATTGTTTTCCATAGATTCCAGGTCCTGGGGGACGGCCCAGAGTCATGAATATGGCATTTCCTGTCTGGCCGTTGGACCCGTATACCCTAAGTATGTGTGTGTGCCCTCACACAAACTAACACATCCCTTCTCGTTTATCTAGTTCAGCCTCTTGTGAAATACTTCTATCAGATTTTATGCATTTTCAGCCCAATTGCTCTGAATTTAATTACCCAATCTTGCTAAAACTGTTTAAATGCAATTAGCTAATATAATTATCCAATAATAGAATAAGTCCAAAAATTAAAGGCAGCAGAAAGCAAAAAGAGGGGAGAATAAAAGAAAACAGAAGCATTTGCATCATATTTTTTTAAAATTAATTTTCCTATTTGACTGTAGGGAGGGAACAACACTCTGCAGCTAGAAAAAGACTGTTTTCAAAGTGGGAAAAAAACAATCCTGCCTTATCACTAGAATTAATTATTTGAAAACAGTTTCCTGTCTGAAAATGCTAATGCAGGGAAGATTTTCCCTGAGGTCCTCTTCAGGGCCCTGGAGGCATGAGAGTCAGTGTTGCCTTGTTCCATGTGAGTGGGAACAACAGTGGTCAACGTCCTGTGAAGAAAAATGCATCCAGAACCTGCTGGAGCTGGCTGGTGATGCTCTCCATGAAAGATGCTGAGTTCTGGGGGAACTATTTGGGGATGAAGTGGGAACTTTGCTCCAAATGTGCAGACAAATTCTGAGTCATGCATAGCAGCAGCATCTCCAAAGTTTGCATTCCTCTTCATCCAAAATGGCCCTTCCAAGGACATCATATGGTCACTGACTCAGCCTTCACTGAGAGGCCCTGGTGCTGAGGGCTACTGATCAGCTCAGTCCCTTTCTTTGCTGATTCCTCACCATTTTCTGCACCATGTGAACAACCACATTAAACATCCAGACACCAAATGAACACAGCTCTCCCAGCTCAGCAATGGAGGTTATAAACCAGATTAACAAGTCAAGACTTAATTCTGTATATTTGCTTTTCATTCTTCATTTCACTAATTAAGCAAGAAACCTGGGCCATGAATTGGTATAATTAAAGCAAATTAAGTAGTGTAGAGTACACCCTTAACTGTACAGCTCATGTAACTCTGCAGATCATAGGTTGCTCCATCTGTACTTGTTTGCTTAGCCCACTCTGGACAAAGTCCTAGTAGATTTTAAGCATTTAATTGTCAACTCTTCTCTTTTTACAGTTCACTGCTTGAAAGCCCACAGATTGGACAGACATCTAGAGACAAAGGGCCAAATCCTGCCCCATCCTGTCCCACTGGCAATGAACTGAATCAACAAGACAGGCAACTGCACTGCTGAGGGTGGGACACGGCAGTGCCTGGCTGCTCATGCTGCACTTTGGATTGAGCAGAAGTCGGAGGAAGTGGTGTTTCACCACGGTGTAATTTCCTACCTCCTACCTACCTTGCAGGACCCACCAAAGTGACCTCCTGTCCCCATTAGCTTCCCCTTTTCAGCTCAGGCAGGATCTCAAAATTTTTCCTGAACACTTTCTCTGTTTCCAGGTGGGAGTAAGGGGTGGCCAGTCTGCCATCACAGGACTCACAGTGATAACTCATTCTTGTGCACATCCTGGAGAACCCTTGCTGCTCCTTGGTCATTCTGCTCAGTACCAGATCATTCTGGGACCAAATACCAACCAGTCACCACTTGCATAAATGTGCTCCAGCACTGGGGGTATCTGAACCTTTCCTGGCAGTACACACGATCCCCTGGAGAAGAAATTATAAGAACACCATCATTTGATTTTGGGGAGGTAAACCAGAGAGATCAAAGTGACTTGTACTCCCATCTCAGCCATTCAACTCCAGGTTGCACTGGGGTGAAAATGCCTTGAGTCTTTTACAGGCAGATCTCTGACCCTTCATTAGCTGAGCCCAGCTGAACATCTCCCTTCCTGCCTTGTTAGGAGCTGTAGCCCCTGCAAAGGTAAGTCAGGATTCAGGATGGATGCAGAGAAGGAAGGGCAAACCTCCAAACAGCAGTATTTTTCTGAGCCCCAGGGGTGTAGGTGAAGCAGTGAAGCATCTGCTGGTTTGAAGTAGATATTGTTAACTGGAATTTGGGATGCCTTTCGGATTAAGCATGATGCAGCACTCACAAGGCTCCACTTAGCTGACATGTCTGAGCTCTGCCTGAAAATCTGATCTCCCTGTTATTACTCCTAAAGCTGTTTTTGCCTCTCCTTCTTTCTTTTCTGATTCTTTTCATCCTGGCCAGCTGTAACATGCACCTCCCTGTTATGCTCTTCAGATGTGCTGCTCTGTTTTTACTTGAACTAAATAATACTCTGTGCTCTTTTCTCCCTCTTTCCCAGCATTGGCCCTTCCCCCAAATTCCTGGTGCAGGCAGCTTGTTTTCTATGGTTTTGCTTCAGCTGAGTTTGGTTATTAAATGTGCTTCCTTCTTTCCAGGGAGACTCCTGATCCAGCCTCTGAGCTGCTTTTCCAACACATGAAGTGTTTCCATGTCTTTCCTCCACTCCAAGAAGATTTTGTTGTATCCTTAAAAAGGTAACAGTAACCTTGGACATCTCTATTTCTGTCCCATTTTCTAAGGACACAAGGTTTAGTTAAGGGGACTATGTGTGGGCATAGTTGCTGATCCCCGCATAACTTGAACTCATCAACCAAATTTAATGAATGGACAGAGGGTCAGAGGGCTCAAAGACTTCAGGTTCTGAAAAGTCTCATTAATATGTCTGAGTGAGCAGGCAAGGAAGGTGCTCTGTGTTGCCTAACCAAAAGGCAGAATAAACACTGATTTTTGGGCTAAAAACTCAAAAATATAATCAAAGGGTTTCAGTACCAAAGGCAAGTTAAGAGCATGCACTTATTTTTCTTTAAACCTCATGCTTTTGGAGCGACCTGATTCATGACTTTTAAACCCTTGGGTATGGAAGCGGTCATGTTGGAGTCTCCTTGAAGCCAGGAGTTAATAGTTAGTTAATAGACCGTCTCAACCCCCGGAGGGTAGAGCCTCACCTCCTCCTTCCTGCTGGTTCCCTGCCATGCCATTCCTCGAGGCAGGAAAGCAATGCTCCCAGCCTGGAGCTGTGCTATTGAGTATGAATATGTGATACAG